CCGGAGTACCTGTTGATACCAAGCAATGTTCTTGGAACTTCCAGAAACACTTGACTCTCAAACAGACTTTGAATCCTTGCCTGTAGCATATATCCTCCTCCTAGAACAGTTTCCTTTTCCACTGTAATTCTTTGCCATCAGCCATTCCCATGTGCCTGTCTGGTCAAAAACAAGCTCACTCATCCCCTGCAACATGTCTACTTACCAAGCCGACTTCCTGTTAGGCTCCTCTGAGTGTCCAAGTGCTCCTCTTTATCTTCGATCCCAACATGTTACTTCCTTTTCTCCCCACCCTACTGCTTATAGTACTAGTCTTCATTAGATTGAGGCTTTTGTCCCACATGAGCCTGGGATACCCTTCGATCTCATAGTATTGGGTTGTTGGAAAAGTCATGATACATTCTGCGTACAAAATACGCCAGGACTTTTCCAGCGACCCAGTACATGACAACCGTATCAGGGCAAAGGCTCGAGGAGGAGACACTGTAGGAGGTGTGTAGGAAATCCTAGAGACACAGACTGTGCCGCTTGCTGTCCAAGGCCTTTTAAACAACCTTACACATAAACAAGAGTTTGAGCAAAAACTCCAGCCTGACTGCCTTTTATCCAGATCTCAGACATAAAATTTTTAAAAAATTTGCCAGAGGATGTGTACACTTTCCAAAGAGAGACAGAGACAGAGAGGGAAAAAGCAGCCCCCCATGGGACGTGGTTCACGATGCTTTCTCCTTCGTTTCTTTATCCAGTCAGGATTTGGAGCACGTGGACACACACGCACACATGAACCTGGTGTGGATTTCAAGTGAGCAGAGCTGGAATTCAGATTGTGCAGATGGCCATGTGGGATCCAGTTCCCATAACCACTGGACCATAGAACTGGCCTGGATATACCATTTAAATTTGGCTATTTTTAACTATGGAGTAAATTCCTCTATAGTCAAATGAGACTTGGTTCCAGTCAGGGTTATTTGAGGACCGGTTTTGTAGGTACTCAAGAAATGTGAGGTTGAACCAGTGTTAAACAGCAAGTTATTTTATAGACTCACAAAGTTCTGGTGTCAGGAATCCCAGGAGCATGCCTGTTAGTGAGCTGGACTGCATGACTGTGACCAACTGAAATGTCACCGAGCAATTAGCCCTCAGGCAGCCATTTCCCCTGGCCCTTTATGCCAGTCCCCTTCATCCTCTGCCCAGCAGTCAGACCTCACTATCATGTTATCTTTTCATCCTATAACTGAAGCATTATGTTCAAGGGAAAGTCCAATCCCGTATTTCAATCAGAGATTGCTTATGAGAATGTTCCTCCCAAGTAACGACTAGAAAATGCTCATCTTTGGACTTATTTTTCTGTCTCCTAGGACATTCTTTCTCAGCCATTGTCCTGTAGTTCTGGAGGTCTCAACTGGCTCCAGGAACAAGATAGTATTCATCTATACTTCCTTACTAACTGGAAAAAAATGTATTTTTATATTCTCAAACTCACAACTCTAGCGTGAACTCACTGGACAAAGTAATTTTACTGCTTGCATTTTTGTCCAGATTTGATTAAGGAGAATCCTGCCCTTTTGGGTTCTTTTATTTAAGGGGCTGCCCTCACAAAGAAAAGGAGAGAAGCCAGACTAAGAGGAGGGAGGAAAACAAGACTTGGGTAAATCACATCTGACCTCCCTTCTGACCCAGCCACTCTTGAAATGCTACTCTTGTTACTCAGATCTGACTTGTTTAGACCAAGAGAATCTCTTCTTCATCCCAAGTGTGAAATGTCAAAACCAAACTGCTACAGATTGAGGTAGTCAGGCCACTATTTTGCAATGGTTGCAATACATTGTTTTGGTTTATGACCAATGGACAGAGGTAGTTGTGATAACTACTGCAGCCCTAACAGTGGTTAGTACAACATTAGGTCAAGTTGCCTTAGACAATAAGTGAATACTAAATTAGCACCATCTGGTATCTCCAGGACTGGGGAGAGCAATCCATATAAAAAGGTATATTATAGACTTCAAACTATGATTAGAATACTTCTTCTAGGAAGAAAGGAGAAGTATCAAAACTAAACATTCTTTTCACTGCCTTGGCATGGAAGACATTGCCTAAGATCCTTAGGGTAACAGTAAGTTACCCTAATGAACAGAAGAATGAATACATTTCCCAGGCCAGACAGCAATGCTATGGTAATGTAACACTCTGCAATGCTGGGTTCACGTGAGAAAGTCCAGAGTTTATGTCCCAAGGCCTCCCTGTACACGCTGAGTGTGCACTTACATGCATGTGCTCTGGGCTGGCCAAGGGTGGGAGTGGATTGCCGTGTGCAGATCCTGTTGAGGTTGTCCGTGTTTGTGTGTGTGTGTGTGTGTGTGTGTGTGTGTGTGTGTCTATGTATGTCTCCCAAGGAACAAATTAATTAAATTAATGTATTTCCCAATGGGAAGGTCAATAACCATGTATAAGCTCTGATCTCTAAAATGACTTTATGTGATAAGTTTTAAACCTTCTTCTCAAACATTTTTAAACTTAAGATATTAACAGCAACAAGAATAACTGGATTTTAGGCACTTTTGCTATTTCATTGCAGCATCATGTGACTTGGTAGAGGTTGGAATAAACACTGAGAGAAGGCATGGAGGTCAAGACCTGAATAATCCATTTGTGGATTTAAAGAAGTCATTTAAGGAAGATTATCAGTGCTTATTCTAAGAAACTATTCAAATTTCACCTCCTCCAGACAAAGCAAAACTTTATAGAGAAGGAATAATTCTTTAATTTTCTGTCATTTTAATGTCTTGCTGCATGAGTTAAGCCTGGGGTAGATAGAACCTATTACTGAAAAATCTAGCCTTTTATTTTTCCCTTTCCCAGCACATTTTTGTTCATTAGTCTTTTGTATTTAGGCCAGTTCCTTTGTTTGTTCCATATTTTTTCCAGGTCAGTGTTTAGTTTCTCCCCATTTCCTAGTTGCCTAGTAGAATGTCTCCTGACAAGAGACAGGAACCCTGGATTTCCCAGCAGGAGGAAATGGGCACTTTTTTCTGGTGTTGCATTCGGACAGTACCATATCAGACCTTGGCCTACTTATGCAGCACAAGCAACAATGCCAAGTCAACAGGGTTCTCCAAACAAAGGGCCATGGTTCTCTGTCACACACAGGAACATGAGAGGTATGCGTTCACACGAGATTATCTGGGAGCTAGTTCCTAACCTGTGCTGCCATGCAAGGGAGGATGGCCTGGAGCCACATTCATTTGGAGCTCTCATTCCAGGTCTTGTTCTTCAGAACTCAACTTCAGGGTGTTCCAACAGAATCCACCAAAGGCAACAGAATACGAGCTACAGAGAACCAGTCTGTACACGTTTCTGTACATGTGTCAGACATCTGCAGTGAAGACCAGGTTTTCCTATTTTCCACCCCTCCCTACCTCTGTCCCCTTTGCCAGTCTGAGAAATTATTCTTTTATTATCCCCCCTCCACACGCAGTTTTTCTCTAGCAACTGCCCTAGTTGTCACAAATAGTGAAATCCACTTTGGAAGGAAAAGAAATTGAAGGTGCCTGGAGAACTCTGTGGCTGAAATTAGAAAGACAAGATTTCACTTTTCTATGCAGCTTTAAATACTCTTAAAGTTTATTGGTTTTAAACAACTGAAATTTTAAAAAAAGAAAGAAAAATATTTGATAGTGGCATCAGCCCAAGATATTGGTATGTCTGTATTTTCCTGGCCTCTCAGTATCCTGGAGGCAGAAAGCCCTGTGGTGTGCAAGGAGAATTCCTGGCTAAATTAAGCTGGGTTGAAAGCACACCGAGATAGGTCACATCAGCAGCATTTATTCTGCAGGTGGAATAACCTGCTGAATGGGAGGAGCTTCAAATGCTAGTTATAAACCTTCACACTTTCCAGGGTGGGAAAGAGGAAAGGAATGACACGTATCAGGTTTCATATTTGTAGCAAAAAGGACATCTTCGCAGAAGTGTGAAGAAAAGGAGGAAGTGGTGTGGTGGTAAAATCAAGTGAATTGGTGCTAATTGATGCTGAATGCTGAAAAGAATTAATCACATTTAATGAACATAACATCAGTGGTTATCTACCAAATGACTGCGAAATGCACTCTCCTCATCAGTTTTTAATGAAAAAACTGAAAGTTTTTAAAATATTATTTATAAATTTAAAAGAAATCTGGTTCTTAAACAACAGCAACAAAATTAACATAAGCATCCTGACAAGCTGTGTGAGAACACAAACTCAAATCTGTCCTCAAAGCAAATTAAAACAATCCTATCCAAATCCATATGGTAATAGAGATTGTTTTAAACTGTATTAGGTCTGTGTTCTGCATTTATTTCTTTGCTTTTAAGCGATAAGGCTTCTAAGTACTCAGTTAAAGGTTCATTTGTTTTGTTGTTGCTGGGGGTTTGTTTTGTTCATTTACTAGGGTTGAGGGACATCATTTGTGGATGTGGGGAAAGATGCCAAAAACTCGTGTGGCTTTCCTATATATGGAAATATCTTCTGGCATTTATTTAAGGGTATAAAATGTTATCTTCTATAAAGTGGTGAAGTCCAAAGAGAAATCATGAAAAAATGCTTAAAGGGTTAGAAAATAAGATGTAGAAAGTATGAGGTTTTCAGCAAAAGTGTTTTGTCTTTGGTTTTTCTTTTCATTAAATAAACTTTAGTCCTTTCGACAGGCAGTTCTGTTTATTGTGTTCATTTCCAAACTTCTGCCCATTTGTCGTCTGAGGTAGGACTAAATCTGGAATTTATGGTACATACAAAATACTCATATGTTCCATGTTCCATTTATAGAACAAAGCTGAACTGCTCAATTCAAAGACTTCCCTTCACCTGTACTGGCCATGGCTGCTTGGTCAGGGAATTAGTAATGGGTATATTTCTCTTTCTCAGTGTGCACATTGATGAACCTATCAAAGCTAGAAAGTAAATATTTATAGTCAGTACCTTTTAAGAAAAATTGTATTACAATTTGTTTTTCTATTCCACACAGGAAGAATTTAATGGAAAATCTGACTCCCTTTTTTTTAATGATGGCCAACGAAGAATTGACTTTATTCTAGTGTATGAAGATGAAAGTAGAAAAGAGACCAATAAAAAGGGTACAAATGAGAAACAAAGGGTAAGTTTTTATGCTATTTTCCTTTCTTTTTATTCCTTAAAATATTGTAAAGTAAAAAGAAGTACTTTTTTATGTAAGCAATAAAATGAAACTGGTTGTTGAAATATCATATACCAAACATACTTTCATATTTTCCCTGTTCAAGTTCCCTCAAGGCATGTTAACAATTTTCTTTTTTTCATTTGAAACAGAAACTTCCTCAATGCTCTTAACCTCAGTTGGTTTCACAGCTGAGGCAGACTTTCTTTCCAAGAATTGCATTTTCTGTTGTGCAGGAGAGATTTACATTAAAGCACACCCGCAACTAAGTGAGAAAGGAAGCTAGTGATTAATAATGACAAGTGTAATAACAACTAGCATTTAACATGTGCTCACTCAGGTGTTGAATGTGCATTTTGCATGCATTTTCTCCTTTAACTCTATGAGGTGACTTTTATTATCACCATTTTATGGATGACAGGGTAGCCCTTAGGTTAAATGACTACCTAGCTTCATGGACTCTAGACTGGAAAGTAATGAGGCCATGGTTCAGACTCTTGTCTTGATCTAGATCCTGTGCTCTCGATTCATTTTTCTGCACTCTCCCTTTCTTCCTCTTTGTCCATTGCCAGCGAAGCTGCTCTCTCCTCCCTTTGCTTTGCTTCAAGGTCTTTCAGGTAACAGGGCTGTGTTTATCTCAAGATATAAAAATGGTAAGCCCAGGGTTATAACAACTGCCTAGGGCTTCTTTACCTGTACTCAAACTGCATTCAGCTAAATCAGATCCAAAACAGAATGCATACAAGTGAGGGTTACTTTTACCCATTTTTGAAAATCATCCATTCATTCCTTTTTCTCTGACATGGGAGGAGACTTCAAAAAGTTTTGGGGAAAAATAGAATTAATGTTTGAGTTTATCTTGGTGCAAAACAATTTTGAAGTCCATGAAGTTTTTCCATAATATGTGTTTTCCATAAACTTTCGAAAATCCCCTGCTGTAGGTATTATCAAATAGGCACAACTTTAATCGTCCCTCTGCAGCTTTTCTCTTTCAAGTACACCAATCTTAAATCTATCCATTATTTCTAAGTGATAAAGTGAAGCCCATCAATATTTTGTTTATTTGTTGTTCGTGTGTTCTTTTGGGGAGGTTAAGTTTAGAGTTTTACATTTGCATGGTATAGCAGAATGAACCTGTGCTTTGGAACCTGCTATTTGAATTCAAATTCTGTCACTATATTAGGTGGAGCAATTCTAGTTGTAATAAACAAGTCCCCAGATGACAGTGGCTTAACTCAGTAGGTAGGTAGGTAGGTAGGTAGATAGATTGCTCATGTCAAGTTAAATATTGGCATTCCT